ATGCAAGTAAGTGGAACCAACCCTGCGTTTGATCTCATAGCACTTTTTCTAAGTGTACACCCAACCGGTGGATGTAAGATTCACTTACAATTATGTGGGATTCATCATCAGAGGATGTTAGTGGACCGCATGAACCGAGGATGCGATATACCGAGCTGCAGTCCAATGCAAGAAAATGGAGGAAGAAAAATGTGAAGAGTATTAGTGAGCGAAATAAATCATGTCGAAAAAATATGCCGACTAGGGGACTTGAACCACGAACGTTGCGATTATCAGACCTGTGTTTTCTCCACTGCTCTCTCCATGCTTCGGGATATGGATAAAAGCAAACAAGAGGTCTCATTTCCTCGCATACTCGAATTCGTTTGCTTTTCTGCTGGAGAGAATCGAGGCAAGTGTGTGCGTCGTTCTATCATGTTATACACAACAATCAAGGCAAATGCTTGCTTGTGTAGGTGAAAGCATATACAGAACACGGAATAAAAAAAGATTAAAAATCATTGCATCGTCTGCAAGGTCAACTACTAACTTAATCGCTGCGATGTTCATGAACAGAGAATGATAGGAAATGGAACTAACATTCATTGTAATAAATTTTTGGTTTGCGTGTACCGTAAAACGGGGTATCTTTGACAATGCGGGTAACTTTGATAGTATAATATAAATAATAAATTAACTTAACTAGCTTAGTATAAAGTTTGAGTTTCACTCATTTTTTCTATATTTCCGATGCCAAAACAAAATACTGAAGTTCGGCCACAAAACTAAAAAAATAGTGCAAATGCTTTAATTTTCGTTCAACATATACTAACGAATTAACTTTTGGATCCTCAGTACTTGTTTTAAAAATATAAAATTTGAAAAACAGTCATTGCTGTAAAAAATTTTTAGAATATATGTACTTTAAAAAACTATCACTGTTACCCCGTTTTACGGTACCAGTAAAGGAAGCCATCTGCATTTTAGAAGACTGGCCTCTGAAGCAATGCGAGGATTCTACTTAAAAAAAAACAAAATTCGGTCAAATCTCAAGCTATGTATGGAGGAAAATTATTTAATTTCAGGAGAATTTTTTTATAAACAAACTAAAGGTGTCATTTTTCCTATTTCCGCTTTCCCCATTCTTTTGTGTATTATTCATGGATAACCTAGAAAATATTCTGGAGGATAGGAATTTGTTGCCCAAGTGTTGGTATATGTACGTGGATGAAATTTTTAGCATTGTCAAAAAGGAAGATTTATCAAAACATTGGAGGCCATAAGCATCGTTCACAAGGGCATCAAATTTTCTCACAAAGAAGAGAAAGACGGCAAACTCCCCTTCTTAGATCTTCTCATCATCAGGGAAACGTGTGGCTACTGGTTCGTCTCTCTGTTCTCTCGATAGTCATAGCCAGCGAGCACGTTGATTAGGGCTGAAAACTTTGATCAATTTTCAATAGTTAACCATTGGTAAACAACTATCATCTTTATACCAAACAAATCTTACATTCAATTTGAATTAAATGGTGTTATTAAAATTGAATTTTATTCATAAATGACCATGTTATAAGTGTTCAAAACCTGACACTATTTCGTCGCATTTTTTTTCCTTTTTGTATTTGTACCCCAGTATGCTCCACAAAAACGTAGTCCTACGTAGAAACTTGCAACAAAACTAAACGAGAAAGAAGGTTGGTGTCTAAGAGAGAGTTGTTGAGCGCTTTGAGAGGCATCTTTTGGTTGGGCAAAACAATGCACTTCATTACGTATCTTTTGAAATAATAAAGGAAAACACCTAGAAAGACACACATGTTTCTCTGTAACTTAAAGCAGCTTACTTAAAGTAAAAAGGACGCTATTAAGGAGGAAATTCGCTAAGCTGTCCAATGGAGGCGATAATGTTGTGCTAAGTAGCATATTTTTTGAGCTAGAACCAATTTATGACAAGCATAGACCATAACAAAAAAAGTTCAATAACTCAATAATCTTTAAGATATGATCATATGCGTAGAACTTTTTTTTTTCATCAAATATGATCTTCTATCACTCCTGATGAATGTGGGCGTCTTAATGGAATACCTGTATAAAGAGAAAGAGAAAGATTAGTAATTTCCATTTAATTCCACTACCTTACTTGCTTATTTTTGAGAGATACGCGTATTTCGTCTACAATTTGCAGATTTCTTCAGTGCCTTGTACTAATAGTCGAGTATTAGTACAAGACACTAAAGAAGTCTGCTCATTGTAGACGAAATACGCGAATCTGTCAAGGATAAGTAAATAAGCTAGTGGAATTAAATGGAAATTTTTAATCTTTCTCTCTCTCTTTATATTCTATCACTCATTAAAATATTTGTCCTTAAGAACCGAACAGCCTGTATAGAGGTACCAGAAATGTTTTGCAGTATCTGGTAATAGAGTTCATGTAAGGGATTTCAGAGATTGTTGCACTATCCTCTATTAACAATTAACGGAAAGCAGTGTATGCGTAATTTCCAACAGATGTCGCCACAACAACAGTAGTGACATGTGATGGCCAAAGAGTGCCGAAACCATTTCCTTCGGTTTATTATTCTACGTTGGGTCACAAGCTCTTCTATTCCGGCATTATTTCCGGACCCGTGAACCTTTCTCTACCTTTTTCTACCTTTCTTAACACGCTCAGAAACGTCAAAGTGCAAACATCACAACGTCATTCGTTCAAATTGACAATAATTGACATCTAAGACTCTCAAACACACTTAAGATTTCTGTCTCCATTCGCAGTGAAGTCATTTTTCACGACTAAAGCTCATCATCCCATGATAGGACTTCATGCGAACCCATCTATACGATACCAAGTTAAATCCCTTCATTCTTGCCACAACGCATCCTGTCTTCCCAACATCACACTCGTATGTAGGTACCTACAGACCGTATCTGTTTCTCCTGAGTGTGTGTGTAAGTCTATTAGTTGAACGAAAAGCGGATTTCGTTTTCTTTAATAAATAAGCTTCTGTTTCTTCATTAAACTCGACAAAACAAAGGACGTGGCATGGGAGGATGTTCCTGGAATCACACTGCAAACGATACGATCATTGCAGCAGACAATAAATCGTACTAATGATCCCCACCCATCCCACACCAACCCCGCCCACATCACACAACCAATCTCGGTATGTAATTTTACACCGTTCTTTTACAGTTTGAGCAATCTATGCTTGAAATGGATGAACCCCTACGCACTGGGAAAGGTGAGAAGCACTTTCCGGGCTCCGTCTGTTTGTGGAGGACTCCGAGACTCCGACAGATGTGTGAATGTGATATTGCTGTTCCATGGAAAGGAAGATGCTTTAATGATAATAATCAAGAAGAAGACCACTGGGGGCTGGAGGTGGTGATGAGCTAGTCTGTCTCACTAGCAGTAATTAAATCGTGTATAACGAGAGGATTTATCTGGGAATTCTAAACTAAATTAATTAAGGCGTACGATGAAAGGTGCCTCCGTTTCTAACTCTCTGTTGTTGGGATTAGTCTGGAGAATGTGAGCTTGTGTTTATAAATAAAATAGCAGAGCGTTCGTATGTGTGTTGGTATCGAAAGACGATGGGTTGGATAGAGCTAATATGCGCGTCCGCCGTCCATTGGGATGCCATATCCACCTATGACGTATGACTGGGAAAGTGTTTCCGCTTGGCTGAGCCAGAAGATAAGATTTGCTATCGTCAACACGATCTGCTCCAAGCATCATCGCCGTCGTTATCGTCGTCGTTTCATACGCAGCCATATGGGAGCAACCATCCGAGCAAGAGTCATAAACAAAGAAATAATCGCTAGTGCTTAAGCGGTATGAGAACCGCTTTAATGGCTACTGGAATATGAGATTTATTAGCAGTTGGGTTGAAGTGTTTGGATTTGATGGTTTTGAAGAAGATTCAGACTGTTCACTTTCCAATGAAGTAGCTATGGTAGTTTGACTATGTTCTAGCTCGCAACTAAATTTATTGTCATTTGGTATCGTACATTTGTGGCAAGAAATCGATCCTGACTTGGGCTGTGGCGAGTGCACTTGGTCCCAATTGCACCCTGGCCATCAACATGGCTAATTACTGTCGTAAAAATTTCACTGAAATCTCCAATAAATAATAACTACAACGAAGCATCTAATGCAACTAATACTAAAACGTGTTCAACGTGAAATGCCAAAAACCGAATGATGAAATCTCCGTGCGTCTAAATTCTAAAATGTTTTAAATCACTATTGCATGTGTCGCTTAGAAAATTTCCGTCTCCCGCTTCCGACGGACACTGGCACCGGACATCAGCAGGTTCGCTTGTCTCTCCAGCAGTTCCCTCTGCTGCGAGGGAATCCAACGGTTCTTGTCGACCACCGGCAGTCCCACCTGGTTCGGATCGCCGTACACCGAGGAACCACCGGAGTAGAAGCTGCTCGTATCGATCGATGGTCGTTGATGCTGCTGGGTGGGAATAACGTCCGGATTGCGGAGATTCTTCGGCCGAAGGATGGGAAGCGTCATTTCGTTGTAAACATGTTCGTGGTGACCGTTTAAATCTTTGCCCTGGATTGAGGTAGGTGGAGCGTTAAGCTCAGTGACGGTTGTTGTTGCTGTTGCTGCTGCTGCTGCTGCTGCAGTGGCTGTTGATGTTGTTGTGGGAAGTAGTTGTTGCCCAGCACCAGGTTCGTCAGTAGTATCGCTGGTGTTAGTAAGTGGTTTTGATTTTTCGGAATTTGGGATTTTGTGGAATTTTTTGTACAGTGGCCGGGAGGAAGGGAAAAGAGAGAAAGTGAAGAGAAACCAAAATTAATACTAACTGAAAGGCTTTTCTTCTCGTTGTAGTTGTTGTTGTTGTTGTTGATGAGGAAGCATTCGTTAATGGTGAGAATTGCGAGTTCTAAACTAAATGTAGGTGATGGTCTTTTTAAGGGCTACCACTAATATTTACAATGCGATACTAGATGACATACTACGAAAACTACATAAGTGAAATGTTAAATGAAAAGATAAAAATTTACTTACGATTCTCCGATACGGGCATTGCTGGTCGTGATGGAGGCTCCTTTGCCTGAAAAATTTGCAATACAATCATTAAATTCGTCTGCGTAAACGGGATGATCTATCTTATCGGATTATAAGCAAAAATGTTCTCCTTCTCGTGTTAAATGTATCATTGCATATTTAAGCAAGAGTCAATTCTAGAAATACAGTGGGTGATTTAATTCACCGGATCTCAATTTAGTGTTAAAGCATTTTTAAAGTTATGAATTCAGAGCTTTTTCACCAACAAATGGATTAATTTGAATATTGCGTGGAAAGCACAATAATTTATTCCTCTTAAATACGGCATCTGGACGATAGTGCGTTCTAAAGTTCAATTCCCGGTCTGGTCTAGCAAATGTTTCGTGTTGGGGGGAAGTCGAGAATAACTTCCTGCACGAAAGATTTTCTAGACCGAACTGAGAATTGAAGACTCTCTCTACAGGCACTCTTATAGAGACAACTAGACGAAAGTGCATTTAAAAACTCATACAGTACCGTATGCGATAGTGCAAATCGTACACGGCGAATGAGAACGACTCAAATTTGAGTTTAGTTCACTCATAATCGCCAAAAGTGCAGGAACTCAGCTATGAGTTAATTTGCCTCATGTTTTCCCAGGTTTTTCCAGGATTTTCCAGGGAAAAATTCCCGAATTTGAGAAAAGTAAAGATTGTCAGTCTATTGGTACTACTCCGAGACTGAATAAAATTTTAGTCAATTTCCTCATTTTCCGGCAGATTTTTTAGGTTTTCCACAGGAAACCATGAGACAAATTTTACTCATCGCTGAGTTCCTGCACTTTTGGCGATTATGAGTGAACTAAACTCAAATTTGAGTCGTTCTCATTCGCCGTGTACAAATAAGGTTCCCGTTTCACCTGTGCATAAAATACCTTGGTTTTCTTTGCATGCACGTAACCTATAGCTCATACCGTAGTAGGCTGTGAGTAAAGGAAAATGATTTACTTAGTTTGACAGTTGCACCATGACGAAGTGGCAGCGTACTCGTGATTTGTCCCACGCGCAAATGTCGCAAAAAGACATTTCAATCGCCTTGGTCCCGGTGGACCGTCAAAAGTGTTTTAGACTGAGAAAAGAAAGGAAAACTATCCGCGAAGGTGGCCACAGGTCGTCCAAGGTTAGCTCGGGTTCCGAGGGATGCTGCTATCAAAAGGAAGATTGCGTTCAATAAGGAAAATGGCAAAGGAACACGGGATCAGTGACTTTACAGCACGGAAGATCGTAAAGGAAGATTGCGGGGCGACGTCGAGGGCACGGAAAAAACCTCACATGATTACCAACCGCATCCGGAAGCTACGAGTCGAACTATGCAAGCAAATCTTGAACTTCCTTAAGCGAAAAAATCCGGTAATCCTGTTCACCGACGAGAGCATGTTTACCGTCAATCCCGAATGCACAAAGTTGTATCTTGAGAAATCCGATGCCTTTAAAGATTATCGTAGACATGAAAGATCTGAGCTTTTTGAAAAAGTATCTAAAGCTTGAAAAAAGCTTAAAAACTTACTAAAAGCAAAGAAACGAAATTACTGGCGAACTTTTATCGAGGGACTTTCTAGAGAAACCTCGATGACAACGCTTTGGAAAAAGGCTCGCTATATGCGAAACCGCTCATCTTCCAATGAGAGTGAAGAATACTCCTCCCAATGGATATTCGACTTCGCTAAAAAGGTTTGTCCAGATTCTGTTCCAGCACAACCAACTTTACGGGATACAGCCCGAAGTAACGGTTCTCTGGATGAATCATTCACAATGCTGGAATTTTCAATGGCACTTCTTTCATCGAATAACTCTACTCCGGGAAGCGATATGATCAAATTTGACCTTCTAAAAAACCTCCCCGATATCGCTAAAAGACGATTACTTAACCTATATAATTCATTTATGGAATTCAATATAGTTCCACCAGCATGGAGACAGGTTAAAGTAATAGCTATTCAAAAGCCTGGGAAACCAGCGTCTGATCACAATTCTTACCGTCCGATCTCTATGTTATCATGCCTGAGGAAATTATTAGAAAAAATGATCCTATTAAGACTTGACCATTGGGTTGAATCAAACAATCTACTTTCAAATACGCAATTTGGTTTCCGGAAGAGTAAAGGAACAAACGATTGTCTAGCGATGCTTTCATCTGATACTCAACTGGCCTTTGCGCACAAGGAGCAATTGGCTTCAGTCTTTTTGGATATTAAGGGCGCATTTGATTCGGTTTCCATAGTCATACTGTCAGACAATTTGCACAGTAGTGGATTACCCGGTATTTTGAATAATTTTTTGTATAATTTGCTGTCAGAAAAACAAATGACCTTCAATCTAGGTCCACTGACAACTTCTAGAATTAGCTACATGGGCTTACCCCAAGGTTCATGTTTAAGTCCCTTACTTTATAATTTCTATGTCAAAGATATTGATAACTGCTTAGATAATCAATGCACGCTTAGACAGCTTGCAGATGATGCCGTGGTTTCCATGAGAGGTCCACGTGCAGAAATCTTGCAAAGACCATTGCAAAATTCCCTAAATAATCTGTCTCTCTGGGCAAGAAATTTAGGGATCGAGTTTTCACCGCAAAAAAACTGAATTGGTAGTGTTTACAAGGAAGCGGTTTCCAGCCCAACTGCGTCTAAATCTTTTGGGCAGAGACATTACCCAATCTTGAACCTTCAAATACCTTGGAGTCTGGTTTGATTCAAAATGCACTTGGGGTACCCACATTACGTATTTGAAACAATAGTGTCAACAAAGGATCAACTTTCTACGATCAATTTCCGGGACATGGTGGGGTGCTCACCCGGAAGACCTCATTAAACTATATAAAACGACTATTCTTTCAGTTCTTGAGTATGGCTCTTTTTGCTTCCTCTCGGCAAGAAAATCCCTCCTAATTAAAATGGAACGCGTTCAATATCGTTGTTTACGTATTGCCCTTGGCTGTATGCATTCAACACACAATATGAGCCAAGAGGTCCTAGCGGGCGTAAAACCCCTGCAGAACCGTTTCTGGGAGCTCTCATTAAGATTATTGATCAAATGTAGTGTCAGTAACAACCTTGTGATTGAAAACTTCGAAGAAATGCTCGAATTGAGCATCCAGTCTAGATTCGTGCGAATCTATCTTAATTATATGTCATCGGATATTAGCCTTCCTTGCTATAACCCCTCTCGTGTATGCTTTACTAACTACAGTTCCCCCATTGACTATGATCTCTCCATGAAACAGGCTATTCAAGGAGTTCCAGATCAACTTCGACCTATCTCAATTCCCCGCATTTTTGCTGAAAAGTACCAACAAGTCAATTGCAATAGAAGATTTTTCACTGATGGATCACGCATTGATGGATCCACTGGCTTCGGCGTCTTCAATGAATACTCAACCGCCTTTCGGAAACTTCAGGAACCTTGTTCCGTTTATGTTGCTGAGCTAGCAGCAATCAACTTCACATTGGGGATGATTTCCGATATGCCCATAGACCATTACTTCATCTTCTCGGATAGTCTCAGTTCGATTGAGGCTATTCGGTCGATGAAACAAGGTAGGCACTCATCTTATTTCCTTTCAAAGGTAAGGGAGCAGATGAGTTTGCTGGTCGAAAGATCATATATGATTACCCTTGTATGGGTCCCCTCACATTGCTCAATCCCAGGCAATGAGAAGGCAGACTCTCTCGCAAAGGTGGGCGCACAACAAGGCGAGATTTATGATAGAAGAATTTCACATGATGAATTTTTCCCATTAGTACGTCAGAGTTCTCTTTTAAGTTGGCAAAACGATTGGACAAGTAATTCTCTTGGGCGGTGGTTACATTCCATTATTCCAAATGTTTCTTCGAGAGCGTGGTTCAAAGGTCTGGATGTAAGTCGGGGATTCATTCGAGTGATGTCAAGACTTATGTCCAACCACTACTCGCTAGACGCACATCTCTATAGAATAAACCTCATTGACAGCAATATATGTAGGTGCAGAACCGGTTATGATGACATCGATCACGCAGTTTGGTATTGCCCAGGTAATGACGCCTCCAGAGCACGACTATTGGATACCCTAGTGGCCCGAGGTAGACAACCCTTCCGTGAAGTAAGAGATGTATTGGGAACACGTGATCTTCCCTACATGCAGGCGATCTACGAATTCCTTTGTTTGTCTGATGTTAGAGTTTGATGTGACCATCCCATCCTTTCCAAACAATTTCCCGCCATTGTGTCCCAGTCTTATAATCCTCCTGTTCCTGTGCTACTTGCCCCTGCCCAGCCAGGATTTGGTCAACCGTCCGAGAGTAGTATCTGAAGGAGGCTTCAGAAACCAGTTTCCTACTTAGCTCCTTCCAATCGAAATTGTTACCCATTAACCTCGAGCCCGCCACGAGTAATTGGTACCCAATACTAACCTAGAACTACTGCTATTTAAAATGTAAAATCAAACATTACTGATTTTGGCTCCGCAAAGTGTCACACACGACTGAGCCTAGTAAATAAACGAACTAGTTAAAAAAAAGCAAATCTTGAACTTCCTTAAGCGAAAAAAATCCGGTAATCCTGTTCACCGACGAGAGCATGTTTACCGTGCATCCCTTATCAAATTCCAGAACCGATCGGTATATTAGTTCTCTTCCGATAAAAGACGTGGCCGACGAGCACAAGTACGTGTATCTGACCAAGCATCCTGCTAGCGTTATGGTGTTTGGATTGGTGGCTTCCGATGGTAAAAAAAAATGGACCCGGTGTTCATTCCAGAAGGCGACAAGGTCAACACGGAGGTCTACATCGGGATTTTAAGTAAGTATGTTCTCCCGTGGATTAAAGAACAGTGGTCCGAAGCCAAATGTTGTATTTCAACAAGATGGGGCTCCGTGCCACACCTCGAACCGCACTCAGAAGTGGTTGCAGGAACATCTTCCGTCAAAGGATATGTGGCCGCCATTCAGCCCGGATCTTAATCCGCTGGATTACTCAATATGGCGCGTCATGAAGGCCAAGGCCTGTTCTAAACGCCACCCGAGTACAGCAA